CGAGACGATCCTTCGGGAAATGATAATTATGTACAGTAATCGCGTATAGGTATGCATGCACACATTCGACGCTATCGTCGCGACTTCGAGGTCATCGCTTGTACGTACGCGCGCAATACGTCATTGGACAGGATATGAATTCTTTTTAGTCGGTTTTCCCATTTTTCCAACGTGTCTCTCCTTTCGAGTAAACCAGTGAAAATTCCACGACGTAAATTTTGAACGTTCAGAAGATCCATTCTACGCCACACGTTTGTCGCGAGTGTGATAAAATGTCGCGCAAGAAGCATGTATCGCTTTCGCGGCGTTATCGCGAAACGTTATTCATCTATCTCGATGCGAGCATAATTTAAAAAAATGAGACGACGAAGTGCCCCAATTTTGTGCTTATTTAGTATAATTTTGAATGTGAATCATTGCTACTTCAATAAACATACGCCTTTTTTATATAGCGAGCAAACGAAACACGCATGCGAAGGCTATTTACAGAGAAATAATTTTAAAGCTTGGTATATTGTTAATTAAACTATTAATAATTTAAAGTTAAAAATTCACGGAATATTGCTTGTATCATTTAACAATCTTCTTTGGCTTCTGTAAAATTTCGTCGACTTGTTGGCAATGTATTCGAAAAAAAAAAAAGAAAGAAGAAAACTTAACTCTTCGAGCCTAACAGATTGTTTTCGTGTTTTCTAGTTACAAAAAATATTTCTTCGCGAAGCAAAACTGAAGATTTTTCTATGGCCTTCAAAAGCTTATCGCTTATTCTTAGTGTGGAAATGCACACGGTGTCGAGTATCATCAAAAAAAAAAAGAGAGAGTCGTAAAAATTATCCTCGTTCGTCGAGAGAATCTTAAAAATCGACTCTCCCTTCGGCAGTGAAACTTGAATGGGAAACGATCGGGACAGATTTACTAGCGCCCGTCGAATGTAAAAATCTGTCGGTACGTTTGCGCTTCGTTGTTATTACTTGGCGTTTTATATTTAGAGCTCGTTGAAAATTTCGTCGATCTCCGAGTATAATGCATTTCATTGTCGAGATCTTTTCTTCTTGAGGCGCGTAGCTACGACGCGTTCAACGATCGACACGTTATCTTCTTCTCGCTGGATGACGTTGCCAAAAGTGGTGGCTCTTGAAAACCTCGGGACCGGGCCGTACGATAAACTATTTGAGTTTACACGGCCGTCTGTGTTTTCCCTTCGATGAGGCACCAGGTTATCAATTTCCTTCGGACATTGGGAAAATATTATTCCAAGTCGAGGCCAGATTGTTGTTGCACCGCCAGACGAAATTCCGAAGGGGATGGTTCTTTGAGCTTCCTATTTAGAATTTAAGGGGAGAGGCGTTGTCAAGCGAATCTCACGTCGAATCATGTTTTAAACAAAAATCTTTATTTTTTAGATAAAATGCAGTTAATAATTATTTGGCGTATTAAAAAAAAAGGAGAAAAAAAAGAAAGAAAGAAGAAAAAAATACACCGCGCCCATTTCAATGATCGTGGAACGAATGTGCTACTTACACGCAAACATATTCTCAACACTGCACGTATGCGTACTATAGTTTTTAGATTTGACTTGGATAATAAAGAAGAAATTGTAATTTTAATTTCAAGATGGTTTTACAAAGACAAACAAGAAACATTATGCCAGATATCACGCAGAATTTTTATTTCGTCGTCGGTATGATTATGTTGCTTAGTTGTATCTCGTAATGTTTCATGGCCGTAAATTTTCCAATGGTATTAATAACGACCATTCCTATAAAATTCTATATAAATTGCTGGTTGTAACTCTTATTTATTATCTAAGCAAAATCTGATATATGTATATTCAACTCAGTCCTTAAAAAATATATCTGTATGTATCTCTAACGTTAGATAATATTAAATGACGCGACGATTATATACATATGTAATCACTCTGAATTATTGAATTTGACAAAATATTTGGAGATCATCAAAATCGGTGAGGTATCTTTTATGTGTAATTACGGATATGTTTATCCATATGTGGTTAATTGCAATGTATTTTATGTATTCATTTAAATCATTTTCTTACATTCATAAAAAAGATTCTCATATTTTCCGTGGGCAGCTACGATATGATGTGCGTTATAGTGAAACATTTTTAAAATTTCACCAGTACGGTGGTGAGATACGACTCGTCATGATTATATTGGTGAGATTTGAAACCAATCTGAGTTACAAATATACTGTATATATTTAGTATATATATAATATACTGTACTGTACTGTACTGAGTTACAAATATACTGTATATATTTAATATATATATAATATACTGTACTGAGTTACAAATATACTGTATATATTTAATATATATATGATATACTGTACTGTACTGTACTGAGTTACAAATATACTGTATATATTTAATATATATATCATATACTGTACTGTACTAAGTTACAAAAATATACTGTATATATTTAATATATATATGATATACTGTACTGTACAGAGTTACAAATATACTGTATATATTTAATATATATATAATATACTATATATATTGTATATTCAGTAAAATATATATTATTCATAAATTATTCAGTAACATATATACAAGGTGTTTCGTAACTTGCGGGACCCACTTCGGGAGCTGATTGTACGCCTAAAAATAATGAAAAGAAGTCATATAAATATATGTCTTGTATGTCTTCGTTTATGAGATAGAATGAATTTTATAAACAGAGCAAACTCTACTAAGCTAGTTTTACCAGGGATATATTCAATTTTCATAATAATCATAATTGGGATGAAGAGAACCCACACGTTATTGTGCTTTCAAGACATCAACACCAATTTAGTTTAAACGTATGGGCAGGAATAATTGATAAATTTTTAATTGGACCTTTTTCTCTTGATGAGAAACTAACAGGCACAAAGTACGTTGATTTTTTGAGCACGCGTTTACACGAAATATTAGAGGAAGTTCCAGTCGATATTAGACTTCGTATGCGGTTTATGCATGATGGAGCTCCGCCGNCATTTTAGCCGAGTGGCTAGGCAATTTTTAAATCAACACTTTGCAAATAAATGGATTGGTCGTGGAGGTCCTATTGCATGGTCTGCTCGTTCTCCGGATTTGAATCCATTAGATTTTCATTTGTGGGGACATTTAAAATCTATTGTATACGCAACGTCGATTGAACATGCTGAGATACTACGAAATAGAATAGAGCAAGGCTTCCGACAAATTCGAGAAACACCAGGAATGATAGAAAGAGTAACCAGATGAATGACAAGACGCGTGCAGGCTTGTCTTCAAACGCAAGATGATCATTTCGAGCATCTTTTGTAAAAGCAATTAAAACAGAAAATTCATTATATCTCACAAACGAAGACAGATAGGACATATATTATTTATATGACTTTTCTTCATTATTTTTAGGCGTACAATCAGCTGCCACAAGTTACGAAACACCCTGTATATATTGTATATACCAAATATACCGTATATTCAGTAAAAAGTTAGTTTATCAAATTTGATCAAAAAATATAATCCCATTGTGGTCCTAAAGCGATGTAAAAATTGTTCCCTGTGACGCGCATTATATCATTGTATCCGCGAGTAGCTGTGAAAGTGTTGGAATAGTTCGCGAGGAGAATCGTTCGTGTGCACGCATAATATGTGCCGCGAGAATGGCGCCAACATTCCGATCAGTCGACGTGTATGCACCATAAAATGTTGGATCACGTTTTGCGCTCGCGCTGATAACACACAGCCGCTCGAGTGGGTGGCGTGCTACGTAAAGAACGGAATACTCGAATCGGCGTGAAGATCGTGGCGCGTAAATGTAGGCAAATTCTAACGGCGTGCAGGAATGCCGCATAATTCAGCTATTAATTGACGTTTGATCGCCGCTCATGCAAATCCGATTAAATGGACGCCGCGATCGTCTCAAGGAGAGGAGAATAAATGTCTCTTCGCCTATCTCTCTCGTCTCTCTCGGATCGTTTCGCTCGGGACCGCTGAAACCAGACTATTTATAATCGCACGAGGCACATACTTTCATGGGCGCAAAAAGCGGAAATAGGTTTACGAGTTCGATATCGGTTTAAACTTTACCCGCTGGCGCGGCGTCACGATCGAACTTAGGCGCGATGATTTATCGATACGCGCCGACCACATGTACCATGCGCAATTTATTTTACAGCTTCGTAAATCACTGACCCGTCCATCCAAATCTACCGATCTACACGGGCTATTTACTCAGGCTCGTGTCGAATTTGGACGAAGTGGAACTTGCAGGTATGATTTTCTCTCGTTTCGTTGTAACGAAATAATTCTTTGTTTGCTTAATTATAAGTGTGGTACTTTGTGACTAAATCTAATCCCTCGTTACTTTATCCAACAGCTTCCTCTTACCTCTTAAAAAGTTAATGGAAATTGTTGTATTTACGTCTTGAAAAATTCCGTATCTCGTCGAAAGATCAGAAAGAGAATCGAGAAATTCTGAACGAAACGCTTGATGAAGAAGGAAAAATCGTCTTGAAAAATCTCCGCGTCCTTGAAACATCGGCGGTCAATTTCAGGATGTTGTTGGTTCCCTTGTAATGGAATCAACATACTTACAATTTTGAAGAGGTTTGTTCTTTACGGCCGTGTACAAAATCTATTGTCGGGACTTTTAAGGAAAAGAATAGAATGTGACTTGCTTCTTCCAAGCATGTTCATCTATAGTTTTTGGTTATCATCGTCTCCAAAGGGAGGGAGCATAGACGACCAACTACCGGATCTTGCCCTAATGACTGACTATTCACAGTTCACTTTTATGTGGACTATTACCAAATCAGTGTTTGCACTGATTCAATATTGTCCAGGTTGGATCATTCATCCGGTGGAGTTGCGAGCCATCGATCTCACACGTGCCCCAATCCTCATCCTTTGCCGGGTAAACGCTTCTGTTTTTCTCACTTTTCGCCGCGTCGAAAGACTGTAATGTAGATAAAATTTTCGACGCGCACGTGTGGGTACGCGGCGTATGAAATTTGCATAAACACGTGGACAGGCAGAGGGCTGAAACGTATCCGGGCTTAAAGACAGCGAGGAAGAATCGGCGCGGTAACGACCATGCCCCGTGTTGTGTGGGACGAATAATACCTCCGCGTTGCCGCCGTACAGTCGACTGCAATAACGTCGATTTTCGACGGCGGTTCGCTCGTAATTTAACGTTCGTCTCCATTATTGGCCCGTTCCTTTCAAAATCGGGCCACGACACGCGCGTTCCGCTCAGAAATTCACAAGATAATCGGGCACGATGCGTTTGCATATCCGGAATAAATCCACCATCGTCGATTTCACTTCGCTGTTGGGGTTGCCCTCCCTACCTTTTCTCAAGTAAGTTGAAAGCACGGAGACGTGTAACATCTTTCTAACAAGCTTCGTATTACAAATCTGTCAATTACTTCTCGTGTTTATCGTTTATTAATTCATGTTTCAGTGTGCGTATTGGACCCACGGGATCCGCTGCTACTAATTTCAGTTGCTACGCGTCCGCACGTATTAACGAATTAAAACGAAAATCTAGAATTGACCAAACTTCCTGGGATCGGATTGTTGCATGTTGTCAATGGTAATTACTCTCGTTAATTTCGCCGTAGTTTACTCTCCGCGGTCTAACTGCCGATCGTTCAGTAATTTTAGGTTGAACGTCCTTCTTGCCAGAATCCGTTTGAACGTCGCCCGATCGTTTATGTTCGAATGATATATATCGATCTAATTCTGAGAAGACTCGCGCCGAGACGAGAAGTTCAAAGTGTTCTGACGTTACTGTACGACAGAGTAATAATCCCATCGAGGTACACGCGAATACCGTGAATACATACATACGCGCGGGTCCAGAGGCGTGGACTAATAGATCTACGTGAAACGTATACTTGCTGATGCAGAGGGCTGAATATTTCTGCCTCTCGTGTACATACGAGAGCTTTCGAGATCACAGGCACTGTACTTACAATGATTATGCACATCCATTGAGAACGGTTTATTTACATACACACGTATTTTATGTTTATGCGTTAAAATCGGTCGACAGTTTTCGACGTCGGAAGAGCAAGAAAGTTTTCAATATCCCTTTCATTTCTCTTTCAGTTCCCTTTCGTAATAACGATAATTGACGGTCTAACGATTGATTACGACGTCATGATAAAGATTTTTAGATACTAAAATTGAGCTGGTATCGTTGCATTATTTCAGGAATTGTTTTGAAATTTTTATTTTGCCTATATACAGGATGAGTCACCACACATTGCCATCTAGACTTACGTCGTTGTTATTATTACGCGTAGCGAAAAATGTTTCAGACGAAGTTGAATGGTTTTCGAGAGGAAGCACATTTTGATGATGCTAGTTTTCTTGGGTAGATGGACGTGCAGAGGACATACGAAGATTATTAACGGTTTTTTTTAAACGGAATCGCATATTTTTTTCATTGCATCAGTTGATGCGCTTTGATATTCTTTACAAGAAAGTATTAACCTATTTATGTTGAAAAATCATTAGTTATTTTAATTTTAATGTTGTTAAAAAATCGTGACTCTCTCGTCAATATCATGAATCTGTGTGTGTGTGTGTGTGTGTGTGTGATGTAAACATTGAATATGTCACCCACACGTCCACCTACAAGAAAACTAGTATCATCGAAATGTGTCCATCTCGAAACCATTCAACTTCGTCTAAAACATGTTTCGCTACGTAAATTTAGATGGCGATATGTGGTGACCCACTTTGTATAGTAATCTCATTTCTCAAAAAGCTACCAGTGTTTAGACTCTGTATTCGTAGACTCTGTATTCGTTGACACTGGTCTCGCAAGAAGGGGGAGAGAATTCGCGATTTGTAAAGCCGGAAACTGATTTATCAAAAACCAAGTTTCAAGAAATGCCGACCTCCCCCTTTTTGAGAAAGTGTTGGCAGAAAGAATTGGCGAGGGGGTAGGAAGACGTTGGAAGCAAAGATGAGGAAGAGGAGGAGAGTCTCTCGTCTGCTTTTGAAACTTGTCGTGTTGAGCACCTCGCTTTAAAAAAAAAAAAAAAAAAAACCAGCCTTACCACTGTATCTCTAAATCGAACGGGCACCGGAGTCACCCGGTGACAAGTGGACACGCCGCGACGCGATATCGGGGCACGGTTTTCGCGCCAGGCGTTCGCTACTCCGATGTGAAATTAAGATCGATTTCACGTCTAACGAGACTCGCCCTGTGGCCATGGGTGTCGCAGGGCAAATAAGAAAAGCGTGGAAACGGCAGGATGAGATTGAGCCGGTTGGTCGTTCAACCGAGGCCAGTTACAACGGACGTTGGCGCCCGTGATCCGGTCAGTTTGGCGAGGAACGGTGAGACTAACTCGCTCTCCCGAAGCGGAAAGAAGCGAAACGAATAGATGTTCGACGGTGAAAGAAGGATCCGACGCGCAAAACAACGAACGAAAAATCACCGAGGGGGAGACACACACGGTGAAGCTGGTGAATAAAACGAGGAAGGAAGACAAGCTAGTTGGCTGAAGGAGAGAGAAAGAAGTATCATAATGACGAGGGGAAGGAAGACCGTGGCGTGAGAGAGATGAGGAACCGTGTGTGGTTGAAGGAATCGAACGAGGCAGGCGGTAGAGTGGAAAACATAGTTGGTGAGAGAAACAAAGGTGGTTAGACTGGTTGGCGAACGAGCGAGGAAAGGATGGGAGATACTAGTACGTTGGATACGTGGGTCGGATAATACTTCCTTGGCGCGTGTAATGTACTGGTCCGGCGGCGCCGGCGCCTGCATGTAATGCTCTTTCTCTTTTTTTTCTTTCTCTCTCTCTTTCTCTCTCTCCCTCGCGGTAGACGCTGTGTTTCTCTCTGCCTTTTGGCAGAGTGCAGCGTATTTATAGTGTATTACTATTATAGTATGTTTACGCGACATGACACAGATTCCACAGCGACGCCCCCCCCCCCCTTGGCGCAACCAATATGGTTGTATCCGGTACGCGCCAAAATTTTAGCGTTCGGGCTGCGTCTAAGAACGGCGGTTATGGTTGATGTTATGACGCACGACACCCGCGCGGTTTCTCGAAAACCGTTTATTCTCGGCGTCTCGGGAACGTAAACGAACATATTATTGGCCATCGATTTTTCGAACGAGAAGTTCGCGGTTGCGACAGAGAACGGCGCCCGGTCACGCGTACTTAGTTCTCTTAATTAAGAACTTAAGAACGGACTTCAGCCCTCCCGTCGATGTTAACGGCAATATTAAATTGCAACGCGATCGCGATCGCTGTGAATTAAATTGCGCCATTGTTTGCATTTTTTGTAATACTTACGTGCCTGTAAGGTTAAACGAGAACGCGAAAAAGAAAAAAAAAAAAAAAAAGAAAAAGAATCGTTCCTCAACACAACGTAGAATTACGCGAGGAATGCACGTGCATGCGTACGCGCGTGCACAACCTCGTGAATACGCAAAAATGTTTGTTGCATGTTTTGGTTAGGCTTGTCGATTTACATAGTGACGCGGAGCCGCGCAGTTACTCAACGCGACGACGAGGACGACAGAGACTGGTGTTTATCATCGATCAGGAGAAAGACGACAAAAAGAGGGAAAAGAGGGAACAGAGGGAACGAGAAACGAGGGGCGTCAGGTCTGTGTCCATTTGAATTTTTTCCTCTTTGGCGCCATAATTAATTGACCTCATTGTGGACAGCGGCTCGGTTCCAATTGTTTTTTTCCGATCGGTTATCAGCGATGAATTTGTCCGAACGTCGTAAATAAATCTAACGTTATTCACCAGCGGTTTTTCCTCCTATTTCTATTCCGCTTATTGCGTCGGACAAGAAGTTAGATCGATTTATTGTCCGGAAACTAACCAGACTTTGACTCAAGAAAGTTGTCCCTCGTTACATTTTTACTTTTTTTGCAGATTACTTGGTAATTACTTAGACTGAAGAATGCGCTTAAGCGATTTCGATGATCTTCGGATATATTGTCATTTCACTTGCATATTATAATCACTCTTAATCTTATTGTTTCAGAGATATATTTTTTGGGGGGGGGGGCAATTTACATTAGATTTTGCTTGAATAATAAATAAAGGTAATAATAACTACAACGTAGTACATTTAATATATGCATATTAATATTGTTGGAACATTTTTAACTATAAGATTAGAAAGTATAATTACAGGTTACCATTATCGACGAAATACAAATTCTCCACTGATATCTAGCATAATAACGTTTCTCCAAACTGGGTCAACGAAATTGATAAGGTATATTTTTCTTTGTTATCTGATCCAAATCCGATCTAAATTAGCGCACGCGGACATGCATGTATATACTTTAAGCTGTAAGTAATTACAGTTTCTTCATTTTAGGAACTTTTCTCGAAGTAAACATCCAACAAGCTGGATTTATCGTCAAAAATCGTTGCGAGAGATCAAAACGTGTTTTTACGATCAGCGCAATTACAAAATATCCCCGAAATATATAGCGATTGTGGCGCCGTCCTCGATCTGGGTTGATTAGAATAGACCGGCCGCGAGAGCAATAACAAATCGTCATCCCAGTCTCGAAACCGGCCGATTCTGATAGCCTCCGTGAATGCATAATAACCGATGACTGACTGAATGTAAACGAGCGGCACGCCACTTGTTCCACGCGTTTGTTGTTCTATCGTCGACGTGATAAGATTCGCGAAATGCACGTAAACTGAGATCGACACGGTTAGTAATCGGCCGATCGCGAATTTAATCGAATTCGAGCATCCCATTCGAGCGTTGTTCAATTGTCCAACGAATGAAAACGAAACGAAGGAAAATATCTTTCATTTCTACGTGGCAAAATATTTACTGAATCTGTATTAATTATTTGTATGTAATTAAATCCAAATACTTTTGAAAGTTATAAAACGAAAGATCACGTCGATCAATTTATGAAAATCTTAAATGCACAGAATCTCTTAGCTTATACAATATTATCGTACAATATAAAAATGTTCTTTATTCTATAAATGAATATTCACGCCCGATATGATTCATTAGATAATGTAGTAATTATTTAGAAGATACTATCGTCTACTATTTCACACTTCTACATTTTTACAAGCATTTATACTTTGTAGGGACAATAGGCAAGAGGTTCTAGTAACGCGTCCTCGTGAATCTCATCGTAGTTTTTCTATCCTAATTGAGCAATCTAATCTCTTTTTCTTCTGATTTGGAGATTGTGCGTGATTCACGAAGAGCGGATAGTCATCCTGTACAAGACTAGAATTTGAAAAAAACGTAAATTGTATCTTATATAGACGTCAAGTGATTGTTATAAAGATTTATCATATGCAACCGTTGCCAAAATATCGTTCATTCCAACCACACCTGCTGATCCGTGAGAGCAATTCGACGTTTATCAATTTGATAATAAACAGTCAGTGCTGTGATTTCCAGTGTGTGTTTAAATTCGCCGACAGAAGGGCCTTTGTCTCGTGGTCGGTAATTTCACTATCGATTTCAGAAATCGTGCAAATGATCCAAGGGGCATCGACGATTCATTGCTCGTTGTGGAGCAGATGCAGCCGCTCTAGGGCGAAACAGAAACACGCACGGGCGACTGCACTCGATCGCGGTCCTTTTGCCTTTGTATTTTTGCGATGCGCGCGCGAATCCCACCGATAAATCATTCAGACGGCTCTGCGAGAGGAATGCCAATCGCGGCGCACTCGCCTGTGCCTCTTTTCACTTTTCTTTCGTAAGGAGCTACTATAGGTATACTTAGAACGTCCTTGTACATGAAAAATGGTATATTTACGTTTATAGAAAGTGTACAGGTACACAAGCACGATGGTTTAATCCTCTCAGTGTTAATTACTTTTAACATAACGAGTGAAAATGATAGTTTGCATTCTCGCCATCTTTTTCACGTTTGTATCTCCACGGGAGAGCACGATTTTTTTCTTAATCAAGTGCATTTGAACAAACTCGAGATTAAGTCTAGAACTACCTGTCTCAAAATCACTAATTTATAATTTTCTGTGGAAATTTTATCCAGTTTATAACAGTTTATTTTTAGATACTCGAGTGAGAGTTTGTGTCCTTTATCGTATTATGAGTTTATTCTTGTATCTTGCACTTTAATTTCATTGCCACAAATATTATAATTTGGTCGTCGGTAGTTCTAGTGTTAAAGTAGAGACTTCACTCTTTAAAATAAAATCAACAATTCTACAATTTTTCTACAATTTTTTTTTCACGAAATGATGACGGTTTAAATTATCGACAATTTTTCATCGAGTGTATGAATATTTTCGTACTTTTTTTAAAGATTTTGTCATGAATTTTGTGTATTCGGTTTAAACCAATATTTTTTATTTTTTATTTCAAGTTAACATTTCGTGCGAAATGCGCGCGCATTGGGTTTAAATTAGTCAAGGATTAGAGCGCCAACGGCGAAATATGGACACTTCCTACGATTCTCGAATAATCGATATTACTCATGATCGATTTTTAAACTTGCATCCGCAAATATGGCGGAAAGAAGGACGCCGCGTCTGTGACTAAAGAAAGTATTATTCAGAAGAATTATCCAGAAAGAAGTATCATTCAAAAGTTCTCAAGTAAAAATTTAAATCAGTGGTTGTTAAATTGGTGTCGGCATTTTGAATTTTTAAGACAAAACGTGCATTTTTGGCTCCAGCTCGAGATAAGATGTAACCAAATAATTATTACATATAATTTTCAACAATTAAAGAAATAATAGCATATAAACATTTAAACAGAACATACTGTGTTAAAAGTTATTTATAACTTTATACCAAAATTTAATTTCAATTCTAACAGTACAAATATTGTGACCTTGTAATATGACTATATATATATTATAACATTTTTTTACATTTGTTGATTCTTTAACTTCATATATTACGTAATTCTTAATAATTCAAACATTAAATTCAACAATAATTTATTAAGAATGCACGTATTTAATAATTAAAATAAATAATTTTACTACGCATAATGATAAAATATAATAACATTTCTCATGTCTCAGTTTAATGTATTAACAATTTTTCATCAAGTATATGAATATTTTTGTTCTCTTTTAAGAATTTCTCATGAATTTTGTCTATTTGATTTAGCCTTGAGTTTTTTATGTTTTATTATGAATTATCATTAAACGTGAAACGCATTGCGATTACAGCGCCCCAACAGCGAAATACGGAATACATATTCCTACGATTCTCAAACTCGAAATCGATATTTCCCAAGATCGATTTTTAATCAAGATGTGACGGTTAAAAATGGCGGAGAGAAGCACACTTCATTTGTAGAGATTAGAATATTATTCAGAAAATTCATTAGGAAAGAGGTATCCCCCAAAAGTTCTCAGGTAAAAATTTAAACAATAACTATTAGATTTGCGTTTGTCTTGTATATTTTTAAAATAAAACATGCGTTTTATTTTTAGCTCCAAGTCAAGGTAAGATTTAACCAAACAATTATGACATAATTTTCAACAATTAAAGAAATAATAGCATATAAGCATTTAAACAGAGCATACCATGCCTAAAGTTATTTATAATTTTATACGAAAATTAAATTTCAATTAAATTATAACAGTACACATATTGTTGTGACCTTGTAATATGACTATATATATATATATATGTATACATGCTTTTACTTCTATTGTAACATTTTTTAACATTTGTTGATTCTTTAACTTCATATATTACATATATTACATAATTCTTAATAATGCAGATATTAAATTCAACAATAATTTATTAGGAATGCACGTATTTAATAGCTAAAATGATAATTTTACTGCGTAATATAATGAAATTTTTCATTTCTCAAGTAAAGGCCCCAGAAAGCCTAGACACTCGAAATTCAAAACAACACGAACACAATGTTTATGTTTGTCTCGACTATCGTGCCTGTTCGGAGAGGTTCACCCCATAACCTATATTTCCTCAATTGCATGACGAGACGTGTCGCGGAGAGTTATTTAGCTATCGAATTTCGTGACAACAACACGCTTTACGTCGCATTAGGTTTGTAACTTTTTCTAACCTATTGATAGCGTCTCTTCGATAGCGTCGCTTTTTCGACACTTTTTCACTTCCTTTATAGCTCATTAATGGTACGATTTCATTAATACGCGTGTGTTTAACGATTAATTGAGGATTACGGTAACGAAATCGTAATGCTTTGAAACTTTGCAGCAATTTTTGCAATCGGTTGTCAATTTTACTCCTACGGTTACCGGTAACTTATCTCATACGTTTTTTCAGTAGAATTTGCAGTTGATTATCGTTTCATTTTTACACATTTACCTTCCTTTAGAACATTTATTCTGACTATTAATTTCTCTTTGTGCAGGTTGATCTTGATTGCACAGACAGCATAAAATGCATCGATACCACAATCATTAATGGACCATAAATGGATCATTAATTTGATGAACTTCTACGGAAATTTGGCAACATTTTATACATTTTGAGTAACATTTGGTATACAATTCATATATATTTTAGAAATACAATTCACAGTATATAATTTCATAATTATTTAGAATACAAAGATGAAAAACGACTCAAAGATTTCACATGCGTCTTTCGTATATTCTTAAATATAATTAGTTGTGAAATTTTGATTCATGCAAACATTTTCGAATATTTATAACATTTGACGTGATATATTACTAATGTGCATACTTCCTACTCTAATAACAAACATTTAGAATACAATAATTGTCTTTCATTTACAATACTCAGTATTGAAAAATACTTTATACTTTACAACTAATATTTTTAATATATATTCAAATTTCTTTACAATAATATTCTAGAAAGATAGCAGTATTTTCTAAATAAACGTATCTTTCTCCCTCCTCTTATTAATCAACTTTATTTTCAGAAAATTTTTATGATCGCGCGCAATGCGGTCGGTAGAGTCAGTGTTTGTTGCGAAATATTTTAATATTTTTCTGAGCAAAATGGCTCTTGTTAAATTAAATAATTCATTTAAATTATAATTCGCGAAGGTAGAGTCAGTGAATCCGCCGATTGTTACTTAAACGCGCGCGTTGATAGTCTTTTATTTTTCTTTTCTCATATTTTTTTTTCTTCAACACTCGTTTTCGGTATTGGAGTGAGTGCTCAAGAGAATAAGGCTTCTCCAGGAGATCAAGATCGTAAGTAGTTATATATTGTACTTCAATTTACTCAATTTTTCAAATTTAACAATAGAGTATAATGTTTGACGTTTTTTTACAGACGCTTCACATCAGCATTAATTTTTTTGTATTTTTTGGGGAAAATCCAGCGACGGCTTTAAAGCCAAGAATGTAAGAATCTTCCATTATCTCTAACTTAAGATTTTGTTTTGCTTTTAAATACAAATTCTAAAGTTTAACGTCTTGTTGCAGATCTTCTACAATCTCCCCTTTCCCTAATACTCTAAGAATCTTATAGCTTCAGAAGCTAAAAATGTAAGTACTTTAGTATGTTGTATTTAAATTTTATTCTGTATAATTTTCTTCCTATTGAAGTCGAATATAAAATTATAATTATGAAATAAAAACACCTCAAATTATTAGTCCCAATTTTTAACATTATTACGATTTAAATTTTCACAAATAACACTGTCTTTAGAAATAAAATGTCATATGTTTTTTTAGAAATTTTTCACGCGTCCACTTCCACCATGGGATTCTCAGTGGTATCTGCTTGATGAGAGCCTCCCAAGATAACTTTCCCTTCTTCAACGTAGCATCGATGATAACGTTCTTCACATCTATTGCGTGAGTCGCATGCATTTATGTTCCTCCGGTCACTCAATCATGTCGTAGGACGAAAGGTCCAAATCGGCACGGGTGACTGGTTGTATACGTAGAATTTTTGATGAGCATAGTGACCGCGGGTATTTTTTATATTCGTGAGTAGTAACAATTTTTTCAAGTTTTTTTATGTATTAAATCAGGATAGGGCTTTTTGCACATCGCAATTTTAACAATTAAAATATACATTTATAGTAATTACTTATAAAATCAAAATATATTGAGTATGAATGTTTGCAAAAGTAAAATATCCATATGAATAGATAAATTATAAATGTTGATAAACAATTATTATTAAAACGATTTCGTTTGAGCATTTCATAGTAGAGAAGATGGATACCCTCCGACTTCGTTGCTATGAAAGATGCAATTATTATTTATTCATACTGATGATATATTTTGTTATGATAATTAATAATTAATAATTTTCAATTTTATTTTCCTTTTTATAATAGTAGATGATTTAATTAATCGAGTTTTGTAATTGTGAACTTCAGTAAAATTTAAAATATAACAGATTAGAATTTTTTCCGCGGAAAATATATGAAATTTTATGTGCAAGAAGATACTTTGCGACGGGCTGAGTTTTAAATCAAAGCAACAAGTTTGAACACTGCTATTTTCGAAAATGTGCTTTGATGAAGAAGTCGCCTGAGAGTATTTCTATTAATATTTAATTTGGAGTCAATTGTTTGATTT